AGATTGCACAGTAGTAAGTGTGGATGTTCTGAACAGGGAGTAAGTTTAGATCTATGAAGAGTGGGGGGGGGGTGTTGCCAGGGATGGGACTGACTGACTGACTATAGTGACTTGACTTACTGACTGGACTAAGTGACTTACTGACTTGACTAACTATAGTTAGTGAATACCGACCGACTAAGGGTCGATGAGAAATGAGATGCTTGATACTGAGATGCTTTGCCGTTTCCACGACTAAACTTCCGGTACAGCTTACAATACTGACTGGTTGGAGAGCTGGTCATAAGTCTGAGTGATCTTTAAACAGGTAAGTTGTTATATGAGGAGTACCTGTATTATGTAACTTGAACATTGTTACTCATAAAGACCACAATACAAAAAAAAAAAGTCACAAAAAATGGAATATAAAACTAATAGAAAACTGCCAAAGATTTATATCATTATCAAATGCAGTGGAACCTCGGCTTATGAACTTAATCCATTCCGTGACGTTGTTCGTATCCTGATTTGTTCGTATGCCGAGTCAATTTTCTTCATTGAAATTAACTGAAAAGCCATTAATCCTTTCCAGTGGAATTCCTGCTCTCAGAGGGAGGAAAAATACACTTAAATATAGAGCTAATATCAACTCTACAGCTTTATTTATCTATCACAATTGCTCTAATATGACATAAACAATATAACATAGAAACCTGATACTCTAGAATAAAATATGTCATCATGTGACAAGTGGAGGCGGCTATAACTGCTCCCACATTGTTGTGGTATTCACTGCCATCTAGTGATGGCCTTTAGAAGCCGTCTATTATTATAATTATTATTATAGTACATTATTATTATATACATATTATTATTATATTTATTCAGGCTTAATTTAGGGAACTGGAACACAGATCCAATTCCATAGATCAAGAGCCCCTCACCATGTATGTACTACTACTACTACTACTACTAATAATAATAATAATTAAAGGCTGCCAGTAGTTGGCACCACCATCAGCAAAACATTGGTAACCACTACTTTTCACATGTCTAGACTTAAGTAGTCTATAAGTATTAGGTTAAGTCTGCCTGAAATGCCTCGGCATGATAGTGGCTTTCTTTGCTCCAATCATGTTATATGTAAACACACAGTAACCTTTGCAGGGAAATAAATATTTTATTTATTTATTCATTTAAGGAACCTCCCTTGAGGAGGAAGTACACACCTTCAAATTTCATTCGTATCCAGAAGCAAAAAATCGACCGAATAACGGTTCGTATCCTGAAAAGTTCACATGGTGGGGCATTCATAAGCCGAGGTTCCATTGTATAGGGAAAATGATTAATCCGTTCCCATGAAAAAAAATCCTATTGTTATTGGCATATTATACAATGATGGGGTTGTAAAAAAAATTTAAACACTGCTTAATACTAAAATATGTAAAAACAAAAGAATTAGATGAAATAAATGCAAATTTAACCTCACTTTATTTTGCTGAAAAGAGTCGAGTGCCTACCAGGATAGTGCTGAGAAGGGAGGAGGAAATGTTATTGTTTGGAAGGAGAGTCCCCTTCTCTTTTCTGTCTCTTTTCCCCATTTTGACCTGGTTGAAGCTCACCAGGTCCAAAGAACTTTGCTTCTGCCTTCTCCTCAGGATGTTTTGGAAATGTGACATAGTCTGGTCATTCCATTATTATTATTATTATTATAATCACGGGAGCACTAAACCCATAGGATTATACAGCGCATGTGGGGGGATGGAAGGTATTCAGGCTCAATTCAGGGAACTGGAGTACAGATCCAATTCCCTAGATCAAGAGCCCCTCACCAGCATCAAGCAACCTCCCTTGAGGGGTGTGATCATTCCAGACAATGCTATTATGGCTTGTTTGGGGTTTGTTGGGCTGGTACTTCTCTGCAAAGTTTTTGACGTCCATCCATTTGGCAAAGATTTCCTTGATTAATGAAGTAGGTACTTCCTCTATCTCCTCTTCTGAGCCTGAAGAGAGTGCATCCATCTTAGACTTGTGCTCCTCCTTCTCAAGTTCCTGTAACTCTTCAGTGGTCAACTCTTCCCTGTGCTCCTCCACTAACTCCTCCACATCACCATCACACATCCAGACTCATGGACCTGCCCAGAGAGACAATGTCCTCTGCTGTACCATTTCCTTCGTTGCTTGGCTCTTCTCATTAACTTTCTTAGAACTCATGGTTAATGAATTTACTAAAAATTTATACGACAAAACACAAAATCACGTAAAAATTCAGTTACAGTGCGGGTTGTTACAGTATGCAAACCTAAGTAATGTATATTAGAGCTGTGTACATATTAGATGAATTAAATGTGGGCAGTCATGGCTTTGTAAACAAGGGTAGCACACGATGTCATGACTCATTCTGACCCATATAAGTTCTAGCACGCGAGTCGTATTCCAAAGAAAGGTCACATACCAAGCAAAAATTTTCGTGTCCAAACAGGATGTATACCAAGTTGGTCTTATTCCAAAGCGGACATATACTGAGGTACCAGTGTATCTGTAAATGGTATCATAAGCTCTAATAAAAAAATATTTATTTATTTATTTATTTATTTATTTATTTAGAAATTTAGCATACATACAGAGGTACAAAAAAATACAGGTAAGAGCAGCATGCCAAAGCCACTTAATAAATATTACATTGTACACTACTACATAATTGTTTGACAAATCACAAAACACTACTTTACCTTGGTCATCAAAACTCATAAACCTGCTAACATAAACAACACATGTCTACTGACTGCGAGCAGAGACGATTATTGATAGTGAGATAGAACACTAGGCCAAAAGTTACGTGATAATGGTGTTGACATTGGGACGTGCAGTTGTCGTGTTGACTTCAGTCATTGTTAATATAGTGTTGCCACCCACTGGAATCCTTACCTGTTTTACATTATTACCAACTTAAGAAATGGTGCCTACAAATTAAAATTTTATTACAGAAACTAAAAATTATTTGTTTGAAAAAATATAACTTTCATAATATGCCTTGCTTATTAAATAAATTTGGTGCAACTGAGCATTCATTACCACTGAGATTTTCATTTTGACCTCATCTGGGTAAATTACATAAATAAATATACATTTATTAACCAAATTCTAATGGTTTGATATTCTATATATCTACCACAATTTCCTGAGGTGCTAGGTAATTACCTCCATCTACAATGCAAAGAAAATGTGAATGGATTGTGGAGAAATAAATCTGAGAACTAGTAATCAAAAACACCTTCAACCCTCCTGATGACTGTATTAAATCTTAAGCTTTAACCCTTTGGGGTTTTTGGACATACTTGAACGTCTTACGGCCCAGGGTTTTTGACGTATTAGTACGCCTAAATTCTAGCGCCCTCAAATCTAGTGAGAGAAAGCTGATAGGCCTACATATGAAAGAATGGGTCTATGTGGTCAGTGTGCACAGTATAAAAAAAATCCTGCAGCACACAGTGTGTAATGAGAAATAAAAACTTTGACCGTGTTTTTGGATTAAAACAGCAACTTTGCACTGCATTTCCGTATGGTATTTATTGTTGTATTCTAGTTTTCGTGGTCTCATTTTATAGAATTGAGATGATTTTGACAGGTTTTACAATGAAAAGTACCTTGAAATTGAGCTCAAAGTAGCAGAAATGTTCGATTTTTACCAAAGTTCAGAAGTAAACAAATCTTGCCAAGTGTCCAATACACATCAACTGGTGAGTCTAATATTCTTTCACAAGTGCGCTGATATTATTTATACCATTTCTACACTAATGCAGTAGTCTGCATAACAGTAAATCTTATTTTTTTTTTGTAAGAATAAAAATTCAAAGTGGAAAGCCAAAGAAATATAAGAGGGGCCTGGGGATGTGACTAACGAACAGAGAACTTGTTATTTTAGTGCCAGGAATGTCTTTCTTGTTTATTCTGGACCCTATTTGGAAATTGGCATCTTTTGAAATTTGTGTGAAATTGGCAAAATTGCTAAATTCTGACCACTTTATTGGATAGTTGAAATCGGTAAATGGATGGTTTCTTGTACTCATTCAATAGAAAAAATGCAGTTCTAGTGAAATAGTTATGATTTTTGTAGACTAGTACACTCAAATTGGCCGAAAATAGGGCTCAAAGTGGGCAAAATCGCCGATGCGTAAACATCGTCGAGACCGCTAACTTTGCGAGAGCATAATTCCGTAAGTTTTCCATCAAATTTCATACTTTTGGTGTCATTATGATCGGGAAAAGATTCTCTATCTTTTCATGAGAAAAAATAATTTTTTTTTTTTAAATTTTCTGAGCATGAGAACAAGTCTCTGAGAGGACCTATCGACCCCCAAAGGGTTAAATGTGCATCAATCTGTGATTATCTTTCCATGAGTCTTATGTTTTTTCTTCTTGTTGAGGGTTACAAGGACCACTCACAACTTTCACTTATCAAGCCCTGCTTCCTGATGTACAGAGAAGAAATAATACCCAAAGTTGGGCAATGACAGGAAAGGAAACAGGACTTTCCTTTGCATATAGAAACAGGAACAAAATATTCCAAATCAGGTCAGATGGAGCCCATACCAAAGCCCCAGCAGAGTGGGAGACCTACTCGCTCACCTGAGTTAAGTAACTTACCTCTTGCCAAAACTTGTGAAACATGCATAAAGCGGAAAAATGAAGTTGATGAATGGTGCCAGCTGGTCCAGTGGATAACGCGTCTGTCTGGAGTTTTACGACTCTCTGATCGCGGGTTCAAGCCCCAACTGTGGTATGGTTTATTTGCAATTGTATCACTACGATTTCATGAGCCCCTATAATAGTGTGCCCACTGGACAGAATAAGGTGAGGACAAGCATCCCATATAGAATGGGAGAAATTTGTCACTGATGTGAGATCACAACACCCCCATACCAAGGCTGGTACTGAAGTCGTATCTTATTTCTCTCTGGTGTATGAAAAAGTACAATGTGTACTTTTTCAAATTTAAACAAACATTTGTCAATGCATACCTCTACGATCATCTTCCCGTGAGTCTTATTTCTCTCATGGTGGTTTGCATTCTTCTGAATCTCTTGTAGTACACGTTCTTGGCAGGTCCTGCACTCCAGGGCAAAACTCACTTATTGTTGAGCACACTTGTTGAACCTTAATGTCCTGGGCTAAGTGTAGCGGTGAACCCAACCACACTAGATACCGCTGAAATCTGTAAACAAACATTGCTAGTTACAAACATTTTGCTGCACCAAAGTTAGAAAAATTACATTAACCAAAGCTGTTATACTTCATTAATCTATCAAGAAAGACTGACAGAGTGAGACTGTGAAGGAGTAAATAATTCTTTATTAAAATTGGTTAATTTACTTACATAAAGATGTTCATGTTGTAATATTGTTCACATTGTAAAATACTGTAAGATAAGATTTCGTTCGGATTTTTAACCCTGGAGGGTTAGCCACCCAGGATAACCCAAGAAAGTCAGTGCGTCATCGAGGACTGTCTAACTTATTTCCATTGGGGTCCTTAATCTTGTCCCCCAGGATGCGACCCACACCAGTCGACTAACACCCAGGTACCTATTTGCTGCTAGGTGAACAGGACAACAGGTGTAAGGAAACGTGTCGAAATGTTTCCACCCGCCGGGAATCGAACCCGGGCCCTCCGTGTGTGAAGCGGGAGCTTTAGCCACCAGGCCACCTTTTACTTTTATTTATTTATTTATTTATTTTTATTTATTTACAATTTGAGCACACATACAGAGGTACAAAAAAATACAGATAAGAGCAGCATGCCAAGCCCCTTATACTATGCATACCATTACGGCTGGCTTAAAATTAACTTAAGATTAACTAAGCAATGATGAAATCAGTGATAAAACATTACTGTAAACAGATTACTATAAAGCACAAGTGAGTATTACAAAGACAGGTCATATGGTTGCATGCATTGTTGTACATTCAGTCGTATGGAGTATTCTGTTTTGGTAGTGTATTTAAAAATAATAAAGTTAGATTGGGTTTTAGGTTTAACATTTATGTGATATAATTGTGAGAAACATTTAAGATATACAATTTATAAGGTTCAGTTATTCAGTATTTATTTGGTTTTGGGTGAGTAAGTGATCTTTGAGAAGAGACTTGAATTTATGAACAGGTAGTGTTTTCTTTTATATTTACAGGTAATGAATTCCAGATTTTAGGGCCTTTTATGTGCATTGAGTTTTTGCATAGCGTGAGATGGACACAAGGAACATCAAAGAGTGATCTGTGCCTTGTGTTATGGTCATGTGTTCTGTTGAGGTTGGCAAGGAGATGTTTGAGGGGAGGGTTAATATCAGAGTTAAGTGTTCTATGTATGTAATAAGTGCAATAATAAGTATGGATGTTTTGTATGGTGAGTAGGTTGAGTGTTTTGAATATTGGTGGAGTGTGCTGCCTGTAGTGAGAATTTGTTATCATTCTGACTGCAGCCTTTTGTTGGGTAATTAGTGGTCTGAGATGGTTAATTGTTGTTGAGCCCCATGCACAAATTCCATAGGTGATATAGGGGTAAATAAGAGAGTGATAAAGGGCCAGGAGGGCTGACTGTGGAACACAGTACCGTATCTTCGATAGTATGCCTACAGTCTTGGAAATTTTCTTAGAAATTTGTTGTATATGTGTATGAAATTTGAGTCTATTATCAAGGTGGATTCCTAAGAATTTTCCCTCTGTTAGCTTTGTGATAGGTGATCCATTTATCATTATGTTAAGAGGGACATCTGTAGCTCTGTTACCAAACTGAATGAAGTAGGTTTTGTCAATGTTTAGTGTAAGTTTGTTTGTCCCTCATCCAGGTAGATATTTTTCTGTAATTCGGTGTTTACAGTATTGGCTAGCGTGACTGGGCTCGGGTGAGAGAAGACGTATGTAGTGTCATCTGCAAATAGTGTGGGTTTGAGTAATTGCGAAGCATTTGGTAGGTCATTTATGTATAGGAGAAAGAGAAGAGGGCCAAGGACACTTCCCTGCGGGACACCAACTGTAATTGGTTGTGCAGAAGAGTTTGCCCCATTTGCGTACACATATTGGCTTCTGTTGCTGAGGTATGACTTGAGGTAGTTGAGGGAGTGCCCTCTAATACCATAGTGTGCCAATTTTACGTGGAGCAAGTCATGGTCAACTGTATCAAAAGCTTTACGTAAGTCAATGAAGATCCCCAGTGGGACTTCTTTTTTCTCTATTGCAGTGTATATATGTTCTAGCATGTGTATAATAGCATCATTAGTATTTTTATTAGGCCTGAATCCAAATTGGCAGGGGTTGAGAATGTTATGGGAGATGAGGTAGGAGTAGATTCGTTTATGAATTAATTTTTCGAAGATTTTTGAGAGAGGGTGTAAGTTGGATATTGGCCTATAGTTATTCAACTCTGTTTGGTCTCCTCCTTTGTGGATCGGGGTGACCCTTGCTATTTTGAGTACTGTACTGTACTTTAAAACAGAAACATTCTATTATTCCTGGGTCACCAATGATTCAAAGAAAGCACATTCACCAACATTCACTCAACTGTCATCTTTCCAGAAGTGTTGACATTAAAGAGTATCTTCTGACTGCAACATCTCCACCCCTCCAGAGTGCAGACACTGCCCTTTCCACCTCCAGGACTCAAGTCCAGCTAACTGGTTTCCCTGAATAACTTCACAAAAATTTATGCAGAAAAAGCCACATGGGAATGGAAATCTTTAGCTCAAGATCCTTCAGACTTACTATGCAATGTTGCAAAACTAGCAACAGATAGTAGGGGAAAAATTCTCTCTGAGGGGAAGTAGAAGTAAAATGCCAGGCCATGTCATAGTGACTTATTCTGCACTGTTAACATCATTTGTTTGCCAATGTATTTCATAAAATTTTGTATTATTAAAAATCCTTATTGATATCTAAAAATCTGACCATCTTGATATTTTCTTATAATGGTGCTAGATATTCAATACTGCTTCTGTGCTCCTTACCCAGTCATCACTCGCTGATAAATAATTCCCAGAACAAATGTACGCTCTGCACAGTCTGCTACAAACTCTGGCATTCTGAAACACAAGGGTGAAAAAGTTAGTGTTCATCTGTCTCCCGGTCAGCAGAGGCTCACACTCCAACAGCACATCAAGTATTAAAAACCATTTCGTCTCCATTCACTCCTATCAAATATGCTCATGCATGCTTACTGGAAGTCTAAGCCCCTCACACACAAAACCTCCTTTACCCCCTCCCTCCAACATTTCCTAGGCCGACCCCTACCCCGCCTTCCTTCCACTACAGACTGATACACTCTTGAAGTCACTCTGTTTCGCTCCATTCTCTCTACATGTCCGAACCACCTCAACAACCCTTCCTCAGCCCTCTGGACAACAGTTTTGGTAATCCCGCACCTCCTCCTAACTTCCAAACTACGAATTCTCTGCATTATATTCACACCACACATTGCCCTCAGACACGACATCTCCACTGCCTCCAGCCTTCTCTTCGCTGCAACATTCATCACCCATGCTTCACACCCATATAAGTGTGTTGGTAAAACTATACTCTTATACATTCCCCTCTTTGCTTCCAAGGACAAAGTTCTTTGTCTATGTTTATCACTTAACATGAATTAAACATTTTATGGAATAATGTTAAAAAATAACACATAAATAACCATTTAAGTAACATTTATGAAGGGATTCAGGGAAATCGGACTTAATTCCTGGAGATGGGAAGTACAGTGCCGGCACTCTGAAGGAGGGGTGTTAATGTTGCAGTTTTATAACTGCAGTGTAAAGCACCCCTCTGGCAAGACAGTGATGGAGTGAATGTTGATGAAAGTTTTTTTTTTTTTCAGGCTACCCTGCCTTCGTGGGAAACTGCCGATGTGTTAATAAATAATAATTAAGTACATAGTCTACTGTACACCTAATATAGCACTGTACACACAATGTACAATTATGTTACAATAAACATTAAAAATAAAGGAATCAGAAGTACAGTTTACCAAGTGAATTTTGTGTATTATTTTAAATCTCTATATTTAGTGTCCACCAGCACTGTTTAGGCTGACAGTATAATGCAGAGTGAGTTCTTATTATGGAGTTGAGCTTTATCAAGTTTTATTCAACCAAGGTTTGTTATGAACCAGGTCTCTTTCTGCCATACTTGTAGGCATTACACCAGACACAAACATCTCTATGACATTCCCCATGTCTGACTAAACCTTTACAAAAATTCAATGTACAGTGGACCCCCGGTATTCGATGGCATTGGTATTCGATAAATCTGGTATTCGATGCATTATATCGCAAAAAAATTTCCTCGGTATTCGATTGAAAACCCGGTATTCGATACGATTCGTACGAGACCTGTCCACGTGTGGCCTGAACTGCCCCGTGTGTGCCAGTGTTTACAAGCCAGCCAGTGTGCGTGCATCTAGGGATACATTTGGTACATTCCATATTATCCATATTATCTCTGTGTTTGGCGCTTGTTTCTGCAAAATAAGTCACCATGGGCCCCAAGAAAGCTTCTAGTGCCAACCCTGTGGTAAAAAGGGCGAGAATTAGTATGGAAATTAAGAATGATTTTGAAGGGTTTGGGACTAACCCTGAGAAGCCTATGCCAGTTGTGGACTCCATTGCGCCTAATTCAAAAATTAAGGAAATGTGTGCAAAGTGGGTTGAAGTGCAAACCTTTATGGATGAAAATCACCCTAACACAGCTATTGCAAGCCTTGCTGGTGACTATTACAATGACAATGTTGTGGCCCATTTTAGACAAATCGTAAAGGAACGGGAGGTACAGAGCTCTATGGACAGATTTGTTGTGCGACAGAGGTCTAGTGACTTTCAAGCTGGTCCTAGTGGCATTAAAAGAAGAAGGGAAGTAACCCCAGAAAAGGACTTGCTACCTCTAGTCCTAATGGAAGGGAATTCCCCTTCTAAACACTAACACCTCTCCCCTCCTCCCATCCCATCAATCATCACCAGATCTTCATTAAAGGTAAGTGTCAATTATTTTATTGTTATTGTAATTATTCTATTGCATTAAACTTAATATTTCATGTAGTAAAATTTTTTTTTTCATACTTTTGGGTGTCTTGCACAGATTAATTTGATTTCCATTATTTCTTATGAGGAAAATTGATTCGGTTCTCGATGTTATCGGTATTCGATGAGCTCTCAGGAATGGATTAATATTGAATACCGGGGGTCCACTGTATGTCAAAGGCCCTAAAATCTGGAACACCCTACCTAAAAACTCTAGAACTGCAGACACATTCATCACCTTCAAAACTACCATTAGAAAACATCTTATCTCCCTGATACATCCCGTCAACTAACTATACAAATACCTCCTGGTGGTTCTCACTTACACTCACTCACCCATTTGACCATAAACAGAAATATTAATCTCAATCTTAAAATAATGAATCCTAACTAGTCATAAGTTGGCCTGTGATACTCCAATACTGAAACCATGTATTGTGCCAAAACAAAAGTATTCACATTGCTAAACTCACAAACTAGTATTTAGTCACTTAGCCATAATACCAACTTACCTCATAATTTGTAATATTTTAAATTTAAGATTTAATCTAAGTCTGCCCGAAATGCCTAGCCATGCTAGGTGTTCTAGTGGCCCCTCTGTAATTAGTATTTTACTACATGTAAACCACACAATAACCAAATTCTGTAAGCTCAGCATTGTAATCCTTATAGAGAATAAACTTTGAATTTGAATTTGAATTTGAATGTGGAAAAAGACATTTATGTACAGTCCAGGACACTTGTAAACACACTGGTAATCATCAAGTTTCCCGTAGCTCAATTCGTAGTGCAATCAGCTCACACACTGAGGTCCGGGGGTCGATCCCCGGTACAGGTGGAAACATCAGGACATGTTTCCTAAGACACCTGTTGTTCACGTTCACCTAGCAGCAAAATAGGTACCTAGGTGTTAGTCAACTGGTGTGGGTCACATCCTGGGACAAAAGTGACTTAATATGCCCAAAATGCTCTGCATAACAAAGGGCTTTCTATATACATAGTAGTATGTCAGTGATGTTATCTATGGTCTGTATGCTTTGTACATGTATTTGTAGAAATAAGGATTATTATTATTATTATTATTCATTCAACAGCTGTCTATGTATAGTCCATGACACTTGTAGACACACTGGTAATCATTTATTCAACAGTTGTCTTGCAAGTATACAGACACCACAGTTTAAATGAACCTCTGAACTGCAACATCCCCACTTACTGTACCAGTAAATATCCCAACCTGGGTCTTAATCCACTACTGTCCCACTCACTGGTTCACTGGAACACACTGCAAGGAAACACAAACTGCATAATAAAACCTCAGTTTATGCAGTGTTCCACTAAACAAAATATTATGACAATGAACAAGATATTACAAAACCCTTTTTTTTTTTTTTTAAAAAAAAAAATTTTAAATCTAAAATCCTACCAGATTTTATCCCCCTTGAAAGTTTTTTATAAAATAAAAAAAATTTTTTGGGGTAATTTTTTTTTCTTTTTTTTTTTTTTTTTTTTTTTTCCCCCCCTTTTTTTTTTTTTTTTTCTTTTTTTTTTTTTTTTTTTTTTTTCCCCTTGGGGTTTTTCACTTTTTTTTTTTTTTTTTTTTTTTTTTGTTTTTTTTTTTTTTTTTTTTTTTTTTTTTTTTAAAAATTTTTTTTTTTTTTTTTTTTTTTTTTTTTTTTTTTTTTTTTTTTTTTTTAAAATTTTTTTTTTTTTTTTTTTTATTTTTTTTTTGTTTTTTTGTTGTTTTTTTTTTTTTTTTTTTTTTTTTTTTTTTTTTTTTTTTTAAAAACTTTTTCTAAAATTTTTTTTTTTTTTATTTCCCCCTTTTTTTTTTTAAAAATTTTTTTTTTTTTTTTTTTTTTTTTTTTTTTTTTTTTTTTTTTTTTTTTTTCCCCCTTTTTTTTTTTTTTACTTTTTTTTTTTTTTTTTTTCCCCTTTTTTATTGGATAAAGTACTTGTGTTTTTTAAAAACATACCCTCCCCAAACAAATTTTTTTCCAAAAAAAAGTTAGGCGATTTTTTTTAACCCAAAAAAAAATTTGGAAAATGTTGTTAAAACTTAAAAAGCGAGCTTTTAGGGGGGGCCCCCAAAAATTACCCCTTTTTAAAAGAAAAAAATTTACAGAATGCTTTTACCTAAGTCATTCAGCATTTCTCCAAAACAGGACCATACTAACTCATTCTTTTAACACTCACCTGCAAAATAAAGTATATCAAAAAACCCCCAACCCAAAAAAAAAAAAAAATTTTTAATAAAAAATTACTAAATAAAAAAAAAAACCCCCCAAACCTTCTGGTAATTATAAAAATCACATCTTAGGAAAGGAAAGGGGAACAAAAAAAATTTGGGATCAGGAATCTGGGAAGAACTAAAAACCCAAAAAAACGAAAGAAACCCAAAGTATTTCTTTTCCCCCAGCCAAATCAAAATCGGAACAAGTCCTATTGGGGGCCCTTTTCTTAACAAAATGGGTCCACACAATGACAGCAAGGAAAAGAGTGACTACTCAAGTCCCAAATAACTCAGTTTTTAGCAAGCCGCTAACCAACAGGTCAAGATCAAAAAAAATTTTTTATGAGAGAGCCACAGAAATTTTGGGTTAACACAAGCCTATCAGATGTTTTCCTGACCCAAATGACTTCCAAAAAGGCGTAAATGACATCCCATGCCTTCTGCCCCCGGGCCAAAACTCAGGAAAACTGCAAAAACCCCTATCGCGAATTTTTTCCATCCTAGGAGAGGGAGCACGGGGCACGGGGGTGCCCCAGTTTCTAAAAACAACAGACATACCCCACCCACAAAGGGGGCAGTAAAGCAACAGCAAAGAATACAGCCGATAGCACTAACATCCCATATCATAAAAAAAAAACTTTGAAAGGGTTTTTTTTTTTTTAAGAAGCAAGATCCCCCCCCATCAGAAACCCTTTAATTACACAACCCAGGCAACCGGGTTTAAAACAGGTCGCTCCCGTCCCGTTCAACTTTGGTCAATACGACAAGGTCCTAGATGCACTAGAAGCAAAAAAAAAATGCGATGTTATATACAACTTTGTAAAAGCCTTCGCAAGTGTGACCATGGGGAATAGCGCACAAAATGCGGGGGCTAAAGGAATAACGGAAAAGTGGTCGATGGATCTGTAATTTCCTCACTAAAAAGAAACAGAGAGTAGTAGCAACAAGTAAAGCCGAGCCAGCTAGGGAAAAAACTCTTTCCACAACACAGTACTGCTCCCCTTTTTCCTCAACCTCAATCCAAAAAGACAAGGATGTACCACAGACCCTGTCTTCCTTGCAGACACACCCAAATCTGCATGGGAGTTCTTCCTTGCAGACACTAAAGGCTCCAGGGGGACACAACCAAATCTTTCAGTGGGGCGCAGAAAGCAATATGAATTCAGCGATTTAGAAATTTTCAATTACTCAATATGGAAACACGGGAAATTAAATCTTTATCAGAGACAAAACAAATTCTGGCCACAAAATAGAGCGAAACACCAAAATCAAAGACCCCGGAGTGATCTGTCGGAGGACTCACCTTCAAGACCATAACATTGTATCAATCCATTGCTAGAAAAATGACAGGATGGATAATAGAACCTTCAAAACTAGGATGCCAGCCCATGATGACACTTTCAGGCCTTGTTTTTTATCTAGGCTGGGAAAATTTCTGCACACTAACAGCACCCTTTTAAGGCGGTAAATTACTGACCTAGAAAAAAGTACAGAGAACCTCATGCGCCAAA